TCATCATCATCATCATCATTATTATTTTGTGCTGTTTTATTATTATTATTGTTATTATTATTATTAATATTATTATTATTATTGTCATTATCATTATCATTTTATTGATGACATCATCATCATCATCATCATCATTATTTTCCTTATTTTATTTTTATTACTATTATTTTATTATTGTTATTTTTACTATTCTTTTGACAGCTGTGTAAATTTGAAAATTTTATGGGTTTGTGTTAGTATGTGTGTGTCTGATCGGGTGAGTGTGAGCATGTCCGGGTGGGAGGGGTGTGTGTGTGTGTGTTTGTTTGTGTGTGTGTGTATATGTGTGTGCGTGCATGCGTGCGTGCTTGAGTGTGGTGTGTGTGTGTGTGTGTGTGTGTGTGTGTGTGTGTGTGTGTGTGTGTGTGTGTGTGTGTGTGTGTGTGTGTGTGTGCATGAGAGAGAGGAGGGAGGGAGGGAGGGAGAGGAGAGGAGAGGAGAGGAGAGAAAAGAGAAAGAGAGAAAGAGAAAAGGAGTGGGAGAGCCAGAACAGAGAGAGAGAGAGAGAGAGAGAGAGAGAGAGAGAGAGAGAGAGAGAGAGAGAGAGAGAGAGAGAGAGAGAGAGAGAGAGAGAGAGAGAAAGAGTGTGTGAGAGAGAGACTCTTATTCTTTCTCTCGTTCTCTTTTTATCTATTTCCTTCAGTCATTCTTTTTCTCTTTCTCACTTCCTCCCTCCCTCTCCTTTTTTCTCTTTCCTTCCCTACCTTTCTTCATTTTTCTCTTTCCTTCCCTACCTTTCTTCATTTTTCTCTCTCCTTTCTCCCGTGAACCCTTTTTTCTCTTGCCCTCCCTTCCTCTTCCTTTCAATACCTTTCCCTCTCTACCTTTCTCTCTTCCTTTCTCCCTCACTCTGTACCCTCTCTCCATTTCTCTCTTTTTTTTTTTTTTTTCCACTTCCTGACCTCCCCTTCTCTCTGTCACTTCAAATACTGTGTACAGAATGACGCAGGGTAATAGTAAATGACAGGTGCTGATCCCTTCACATATCAGCACGATCTTCCAGCACCGATATCTACTTTCTTGGAAATATTGTAGCATTAAGTAGTGCATGTTGAAATCAGCAGAAAATTACAAAAAAGTTAGCCGAAAAATTCAAACTTCATGTTATTCGTGACTGGGTGTACTACTTTAGAAAGGGGTCTCGGGTGTTTAAGCAGTAGTGGTGATAACATGATTAGTAATAAAGCTGCACTGAGATTATGAGGAGGACATCGAAGGAGTATTGAACAATGATAAATTAGTGGTATCTATTGTCAATAATCAAATTAAGAGTCCCAAGAAGGGGCACCCAGTATGTAGATTATAAAGCAGTCAGATTAGACTAAATACCCATAAAACTAGAGAGTAGTATTTTAGACAAGTTTCAAAGGAAGTTAAAAGCTTTGAGGAACATATTTTAGATCTGTTTAAACTTAAGTTCCCCTTGAAAGTACACCACGGTGAGGTTCATTACCAGGTAAGTTTTTAATATACATTGTGGTAATTCTTTATTATTGTAGGAGAAAGCAACAATATA